CAGTGTTTACATGCTTATTTATACAATATGTGTGCTCATGCTAACATCATAAGACAAAAGTTGGTTCCGTGTTGTGTGTAGGGAGAACCCGCCAGAGTGAGGGGGGCCCCCAAGCCAAAGCTCGCTTAGGGCCCCCAAAAGTCTAGGGCCGGCCCTGGCAGTGACTGTATTCACCATGCCATAGAAAGGCTGTGGTTTGTACATGTATTACTTTTATCCAGTTTCTGAACAGATATGAGGATCTGTGAGTGAACTCTGTGTGCTAACAGCTAACACTTAACGGCTGCTGTTTGGTTTTCTGATTCAACGTCAGTGACGACAGGCTGCGATTCTCAATTGTCTTTTTGTGGCGCAAATTCACGTCTGTCCGCAGGAACACAGTATATGGGCTCTGGCAGTGTTTAAAGACTGGTTCATGGAAAAGAAAATGTGAACAGACTCGGACAGTTACAGAAATCCTTGATCGGTGCGTATTTTAGTCAGCAACTTGTGAGTATCAGGAGGACGGGCGCAGTCTCATTTGTTTCCCCTGAAGTTATATTGAACATGATGATCCTGATCTGAGGCACAAGCGTCCGTCTCTCATCAGCTCGTCAGGATCCGTCAATGGAAAAAAACACAATTAAAAACAGCAATTAATTTCCACAGAGATGCGATCACAGGGGACGTGGTAATTGCAAGCTGCTCTGATGTGTTTGCCGAGTGAGGCGTTGTATTAAATTGTTAATAAAAAAATTGTAAAATTATTATTATTTTGTCCTTGCTGGGAGGCATTAGATGTGCTGTTATCTCACATCACACTCACATGTCATCGGTATGGAAACACCTCAGAAATAGCAGCGTGCAGATGGTCCATCTCTCAACACATCAGCGGGCTGTCAGAGCAGATGAGTAATGATGATATAAAAAAACAATTAAGTACTTTGTGCCCACAGCACCCAGTCGTTCACACTCTATACTTCTATACTGCAAGGTGAGCATTCTCCAAACCCAGAAGAAAACACAAAGACTCAGTTTGTATCAAATGCTTTTGTTTCAAACTTTCAAGAGCCATATCGTTTTTAACTTGGCTTTTAAAGAGGCCCCATACATTTTTATTTTTTTACTTTCCTGTAGTGTTTTATAGGTTTGTTGTGTCCCCCCCTGAAATACCTCCATGTTTCTCCTTTGTTTACATCCGGAACATAGTGATGTCACTATGGAACACTCACTTTTCTATTGGCTATCGCTAGAAAAACATTGAACGTGATAGACTAAGGGGCGGGACATCTCTAAGCGGTTGACCAATCACAACAGAGACAGCTTTTTATATATATTTTCTTTTTGTCGTGTTATTTAGTATTTTCTTTCCATGTATAAACCCCACGTTTCCATTTTTAATATATTTATTTACTACAAAAAATATGTTATTTACTTTATTTGCTATTCATTTATTTATTATTGTTATTATTACTTTATTGTTTTTTTTGTCCCCTTGCCTTTTCATAATTTCACCTCACATATATCCTCAAGCCCCCTCCCCCTTTTGTATTTATTTATAAAAAATTAAAACAATATTTAAATGTATTTATTTATCAATTTTTTTAACTATTATTCTTATTTTTAATGTAATTTATTTTTGAGTCCACTGTAATAAAATGAAAAAAACAAACAAACATGGAGGCTAACTACTACATGCTTATGATCAAGGGGGGGTTGGGAAGGAAACAAGTGAGAACAATTATCTAAATTCCTCTTACGATGAGCAGCACCTCCATTAGATATGTGGCTGTTTTAATAAGATGCTTATCAGGAAACTGCTGGCTGTATTTTCGCGCCTCGCTGCGCTCTCGATAAAGCATTTTGTTTTAATTAGACACATTTCCTCTCGTTCTGCTGAGGTTCTGCTCGCTCTCAATCATCCCTCCCACCAAATCAAAGAGTCACTATTAAGCAGAACCAAAGAGTTTAACGCCTGTAATCTCCCGAATATTCTCCACTCCTGGTACAATTGGAAATGAGACATAGTGAAAAACACGATGCCGTGTTTTGCATACTAACAAGGGACCTTTGGTGTCTCCATCCTTCACGGTTATGGAGGGAAGTGGCTCAACAATGAGTAGCAGATCTACTGTTACAGGAAAACACTCTTTATCATACTGTCTGTAAAGGAGGGGGGGATTAATGTTCTACCTTCAATAACTTCCTTTATTTTTGTTTTTATAGCACTTTTAGCCGTTTTTATAAAAACATTCACACTTTTCCAAACTGTGTGTGTGTGTGTGTGTGTGTGTGTGTGTGTGTGTGTGTGTGTGTGTGTGAGATACTCATCTACTCACCTAACGTGTCTCCTGTCAGGTGTGGATCCAGATCCCACGTGGGAGCACATCCTGTTCACCGCCTGCCACAACAAGCACCTCAGCCCCCCCCAGAAGAGACTCCTCTCATGGGCCGACGACTGGAGGGCCATCCTGAACAGCAAGAGGCAGTGAGGAACTCCATTACCCAGAATCCCCAGTGGTTTACTTCCTCGTTACAGTGACAGATCTGGGGACGAAATCATCGCTGAGGTTC